TTCCACAGGAGAGCCTATTACTGTGTTGCATGAATGCCTGTAACACCTCAGCTCCAGGCACACACATATCTGTGGCAGCAGGCAGTGGGACTGGGCTCGTGCACATGTCTATGCTGCGCTGTTAATATCTGCGTCTTGTGGTTTGGTTTGCCAGCTGCTGCCACAGGCCGGTAGGAGGACTTAAAAAGCTTCATCCAGTTACATGAGGAAGGGCACATGCTAGGCTAGCACTCTACCACAAAGCTGCAGCCCCGGGCCAGGGGAAAATGATTCAAAGACTGAGGATTCTGCGGGGAGTAGTGTTGGAGGCCAAGGTGATCTATAGGAAAGAGAAAGAGGAGAGAGAGAAACAGACAGACAGAGACAGAGACCCCCGACATCTCTTCCTGACAACTGGAAGGAAGTCAGCGACCAGCGAGGGACCCACAGAAGAGGGAAGGCCAAGATGGCTGTTTCTTGTCTGTAGCCTCCGCAGCAAGCAGCTGGCTGTACAGGCTGCTTATGTGAGCCTTCAAACTAAATATCAACCCTGACAAGAAACGGGAAGACAAGCTCTGCAGGTAGGTAGGCCTGCTTTGCCTGTGTGGAGTCTCGCTGGTTGAGTAAAAAAAAAAAAAAAAAAAAAAAAAAAAAATCCTGCTGGGGAGAAAATAGACCACAGTGTATTTAGGGCCAAGCGCCAGACTTTTCCCCAGAACCTCACATCCTGAGGAATTCTTTGGCGCAGAGTGTAGAGATGGGGTTTTCATAAGGACTCATATCACTACATCCCTGTTTGCTATTGTCACCCCATAGGGCTGCTCTTCTGTCCATGACTGGTCCTTCTGGCTAAGCGTCTCGGTCCACATGTGATGAGTGCTCCATCATCCTTGGATGCCAGTGAGTTCTCTGATAAATTTTGGCTCTCTGTGACTATACATAGACAAAGAAGTCCAGAGATTTGTCATCTGGGGCCAGAAACAATCCACAAAGAGCTTCAATACTCAGTATAAAGTTTCAAGGAGAGCTAAGCGAGATTACTGATAGCCATGCAAGCGTTTACCATTGCCTTACTGGGGTCATAAAAGGCTCCTCACCAGCTGATGTGAATCTGACAGTGTTGTCTTAGTTGTTCTTAGCTTTAAAAATGTTCAGCTAGCATTGGAAGAGACACTCTAAAATCCTGGACACGCTGCTGAGATGGCTCAGAGGCCTGATGACCGGAGGTCTGTTCCCTAGGACCCACATGATACTCCTCGGACCTCCACACGTGTGCTGTGGCATGTGGAAGCATGTCACAGATGCAATAAATAGATGTAAGTATTTAAAAACTAAAGGTGTGTTTGTTTGTGTGTGTGTGTGAGTGAGTGTGTGTGTGTGGCCAATATTAATTTTTTTCTAGAAACAGTCTTAAATGCATTTTTATTAGAATCACAGTCCACAAGAAGCTCCTTCATTCTGACTTGAGATACTCCAGACAGAATACAACATTCATAAAATGAAAAGATCGCCCAGCTCAGAAACCTGGCTGCACAGGTTAGATGAATTGAATGTTCAGGGCCTTCTCGTGGGAGAGGAAAACCACATGGCCACTTCCACTTATTCACTGCAGCTGTGTGGCTCTTTACTTTCTAGCTACAGGGACAGCATAGAACTGTGACCAGGGTGTGTAGCTTGCAAAGCAGGAGGTTTTGACTGCCTGGCCTTAGCAGAAAGAGTGTGCCAGTGCCTGAGCTCCCTCACCCCAATCACAGTGGCTGAAGGCCTACATGAACCGCAACATGATTTGTGGCTCTAGCACAGGATTCTCTTCCTTGAAGATAACTTTATTTCTCACATAATAAATGGCTTGTAGAATTGCCTTGACTTGCTCACAGAGCAGGGGATGGTTAACAGGGCACCCAAGTTAAAACCCAAATATACTAATTCAACATCATCACTAAGTATCACTGACCAGCTGCGTGACTTTGGGCCGGTTAAGTGCCCACTCTGTGGCCCTCTCTCCTCATATGTAAGATACGGTTTACAGTCTAGTTTTTAACATTAAATAAGAAACTGTTGCCAGGCAGTGGTGGCGCACGCCTTTAATCCCAGCACTTGGGAGGCAGAAGCAGGTGGGTCTCTGTGAATTTAAGACCAGCTTGGTCTACACAGCGAATTCCAGGACAGCCAGGGCTACACAGAAAAATCCTGTATTAAAAAAAAACAAAAAAGAAAGAGAGAAAAAAATTGTTGAGACACTTGTATATGGAATAGATCCCTCACAAACATGGATCCCCTTCCTGGCTCCTACCTTTCAGTAAAATGGAGTCCCTGAACTGTTGGCATTCCTGAAGAAACTGAGCCAGTCCTTACAGACTAAGACTCTGGGCTCAGACTTTGAGATATAGATCGCTTCCCCGCTCAGTGACTATGATGAAGCTGATATTGCTGTCACTCAGAGGAAGGAAGAGGACCTTTTTATTCCCCACTGTGTTTCTCTCCTTTCCTGACTCTGACTTCCCAAGATGCTCTGGCCTAGAGGATCTCACCTCACAAGCTCTGCTCCTTGACTCCCAGCCTGCCTTACTCCAATTCTCTCTTACTCCCCCTATTCCAGAGCCATGGCTGGTTAAGGAAGCCCAGTTTCTCTGACCCCTGCCTTCTCCATCGATGTTTAACTAAGGGACCCATTGATCCAGGAGAGCCACAGTCCTGTGAGGAGTGATAGGTGAAGGGGAGGTTGTTTTCAAAACATTTCCTAGGCGAGCGAAATTCCTTTGCAGAACAGGCGCAGACTTAACATTGCACCACGGAAATTGAAAACCAGCGTGGTTTGCTAGAGCAAAGACTGAGTCTGCACAGAACTGCTTCGTGGACTCAAGGCCAGGGTTGTCTTCCTGCTGTCAGTGAAACACAGCACAACTTACCTCCCTCTGATCAGATCATAGGTCTTGGCCAGCTAAATCCAGACACAAAGGAGGGCAGCTCATTCTCTCTATAGCTAAAAGTCACCCCAGAATGGAACTCTAAATCCGTGTGTGTGTGTGTGTGTGTGTGTGTGTGTATCCTAAAAACCATTTTTAAACAGCTCTGGTTCTTTTGTTATTTGTTCTTACATGGTGGACAGTATTCAAAGCAAATCCCAGAGTATGCATTGGATTCACCTTCAAATATAGTTAGTAATTCAGCCTTTCTCTAATAATACTGTCAATTGAAATCCTACTGAATTGGCTTCAGTACAGAGTAAGAAGCAGTTGAAACCAGCCCCTGCCTCCTGGCTGACAAAGAACTGCTCCTATTGGTCTTGAGCAGACTCTAAAGTTGGACAAATTCTCTTAAAATCATGGGGTTTGCCTCGCTTGCTTAGCAAGCTTTGCTTTGATGGCCTTGCTTGTGCAGCAGAGATTTCAGAATGGATTGAGGCTCAATGGAAGCAGAATTACTATAAAGAACCAGGAGGTGAGTTGGAGGGGCTTAGAACGCTGCTGCCCTGATGCAGACCAGGGATTTTCTCAGAGAAGCGAGGCTCCAGGATGCATCCTGTCCTAGGAGGCCCCCGCTTCCTAGGCTTAAACTATGCAGCAAGGAGTCACCCTCTCTCTAAGCCTACGGCTTTAGAGCAGCAGCCTGGCAGGAAATTGTGACGATTAGGGAGTCAGAGGGCTGCATCTCTCCAGTTCTGACCCCAGTGGGCCATGTGACCCAAAGCAGCATTTCCCCCTCTCTGTGCCCTGAGTAAACAAACAGTAAATGGTTGACCAGATCAGATGAATAACCACTGTGCTGCCAATTCTGGAGTCTTGCCAGAATTGAACTCATTTGGACTCAGACATCATAAAAGTCGGAGTCGGACAGCGCCTTTTGGTGATGAACTGGACTGTCCTTTCCCCTAGAGACTGGGGAAGGCTGAGAAGAGGCCTGTCCAGGTCACACCATTAATTTAAAAGGAGCATTGGTTAGAACTCAGGGGGTCTGATTCTTGTTTCCATTCTCTGACTAGAACACTGTGCTAGTTCAAAAATTCTAAAGGAAGCAATTTAATCTCTTGCCTCCTGTTGTTGAGGCTGGTAGACATCCTGCCCACTCATCAAAACTGCTCGGGATTAAGTAGCTAAATCCTATGCTCTTTGCATGCAAAATTCTGCTCCCACCAACAGTCTCTCTGAGACCAGAGAGACAGGCTGTGAGCCAATCTGTACCTAAACTCAGCCTCCAGGAATAGGAAAGAAAGAGGTCCCCTTTGGGATTTGTTTTCAGAGATGACCTCCCCAAGACTATGTTGTCTTTCAAGTCACTGAATTATCCAGTGAATTTAAGCAGGAAAGTCCCTCACAGGGGCAGAAAAGCTGTAGGATCAGCACGTCTGGTGTCAGGACTCTAGTAGACACAGGGCGTGTCTGGTGTCAGGACTCTAGTAGACACAGGGCGTGTCTGGTGTCAGGACTCTAGTAGAAGTAAAGTGAGAGCTATGCCTGAGGGCTGGCTTGTCAGTGGGTGGAGCTATCCTCATATCCAACGTTAAGGCGAAGTGGGGGAATCTCCCTCCCCAGACTCCACTAAGCTACTCTCTTCTCCCAGCCCAACCTGTGAACAAACACACTGGGACACGACGGTGCTGCCTAAACCCTGAACTCTGTGTGCACGGATGAGATCATCATTTCCCCCGCCTGCTATCCCAGTGTCTTTTCTTTCTCCGAAGCTGACTCAAACGTCATGCCCACACATCCGAGCAGGCCAATCTGGGCTCAGACCCTGAGTCCTCTGCCTGCTGTGTGACCCCGGATGACAACTTTAACTTTTCTTCCTGCTTCAGTTCTTTTCTGAAAATAAGGATCACAATCACAACCAGTGTCTCGGATGACTGGGGAAGAGTCACCGCCACACTGGCTAACTGCAAGGTTTAGGCTGTGAACAAACCAACAGCCAGGGAAGCAGAGTAGCTGCCTCTTGCAGTCTTGCTCTTTCTACTCTGTGGCCCTTATTTCCCCTGCCCTTTCATACCAAGAGGCCCGGGGAAAGCTGGAGCCAGACTGCCTTACCTTGTTGAGGTTCCCCAGGGCCATGACCTTGGCTACTGGCCTCCTGCTGAGCTGCTCTTTCACCCAAAGCTCAATCTGCTTGTTCCACTTCATGGTGAACACATAGAGAGCATAGGCCAGCAGCAGCAGCAGGCTCTCCCACCAGGCAATGAGGCTATCCAGGAAGAAGAGGATGAGCATGGACAAGTCAAGGATGTAGAAGGAGACATCACGGAACAAGGGCCACCAGGTGAGATTGAGGATCTCCCTGGAGAAAAGGGCGCAGGTGCCGATGACAAAAAGGATGTTGAACACAGCAGAGCCCACAATGGTACCGATACCCACATTGCTGTGGGAGATAAAGACACCAATGAGAGACGTGAAGAGCTCAGGGGCGGAGCCTCCGGCGGCCATGAACGTGGCCCCAGCCACATCCTCAGAGATCTGCAGCTTGTCTGTGATGACTCCCAGGGCTGGGACAAAGTACTCATCGCACACAATGGCCAAGGCCACAAACACGTAGATCATGCCGAAGATGTGCAGGGTCACCCAGCCTTGTCTCCGATCCTCCACACTGAACAGGTCCGGGGGGTACTCAGCCTTGGGGTGGAGGTTTGGCCAGTCAGGGGGTAAAGCTGAGGGACTGGAACTGGTCGCCTCTGGGAAGAGGATGTTTGTCGTGCTCGGAGATGAGGTCGTGGGTCCCGCTGGGGCCGGCTCCACAACCACACAGCGGTGGACCTGTGTGGTCAGGGTTGCCTTGACTCTGGGAGTTACTGGGGCCCTGCGTCCTGTGGAAGGTCTCTTTGCCAGCTCCCTGTTGGTGGCTGAGGCAATTCTAAAGGTTGACACACTGGTTCTGGACGAGGGATAACTAATGCTCCAGGCAGCAGTAGCTGCTTCTGTGGTTGATGGGGTACTACCCATCCTGGCGCTTATTGGCCCTTGCTCCTCAGAGGTGGCTGGGGCGTGCTGTGGGACTGCTCCCTGGGGACTGAGAGAGCTGTTTTGTTCCTCTCTTCTAGGGATTCCCAAGTTGTTCTCTGTCACCAAACTTGGAGAAGTCAAGAGGCTTGTTCCTACTTCATGTGTTAAGGAAGTCGGGGTGTTCAGAACCCCTCTCTTGAGAGAAACTGCAGTGTTTTCTTTCATTGTTCTCTTGGGCAGTCTGGTCTCCCACAGCCTATAGGTTGCCATGGTTTTGCTGTCTTTCTCTGTTGCTGTGGGGGTGGTAGCAGATGGTGCTCCGGCTGGGGATGGGGTAGACTTCCTTCCCTTTTCCCTGGGGTGTGTTGGGATGGAGTTTCTCCTTTCTCCCCTGGGTATTAGAGCATAGCTTTTTATTCTCTCTCTGCCTGACGTTGAGATGAAGTGGTCTGATGCTCTGCTAGGTGTGGGTGGAGTATTTTCCTTTCTTCTTTCTGTGCCAGCTCCTGTAGGGCTATAATTATTCTTTGGTGATGCTGGGGTGATTTTGGTTGTTCTGGGTGGGTTAGGGGTATCTTCCATTGTTATGCTAGGTGTTGTTCCATCCCTGATCACTGTATTTTGGGGTACTAGCATCTCACCGTCTACTTCAGAGCTAGCCTCCGGAGGGTCACTGCCCACCACTGTCATCTCATCCCTAGGGAGATCCCTGCTGGCCAATTTAATAGGCTGCTGGGCAGAGACTTTCGTCCACATTGAGAGAGGGTTCTGGGGTCTCCTCAGGTGCTGATAGGTGGAACCAATGATCAACATTCCCAGGAGGAAAAGGAGGCGATTCCACTGAAGCCTCTTTGGTCGTCGGAATAACCGCCTCTCCTGTGTCCCCAGTCTGATCAGTTTCCCCATGATGGTCAGCTATGTCTGCTTACAATTGGCCTCTCGTTCTGTCCAGAGAGAGGCCGAGGCTGCTCTGGGATCCGTGTTGGTAATCAGAAAAGAATTTCTCCATGAAACCCAGCCAGGAGGAATCCACAAACCTAGAGAACAAGAGAAGTTATTTGCCTTCTGCTGGGATCTAGAACTCTCTCACCTAGAAAAGTGTCCCAGGGACACAAAGTATCACACAGAGAGCCTTGTGGTGGGAGCTCTTGCTCTGCAGGAGAGAACCACCCCTGCCCTCCATTCCACTCCTGCTCTCAGGAGAGAGTGTTCTCACACTGGGGACATGCCAGCTGCCCACGCTTCTGCCTGAGCTCAGGTGGGCTTTGTGGGTTCTCCCATCTCTTTCTTGCACTCCCTGCACCCCCTCAGGGCCAAGCCAAACTCAGACATCCATAAGTGGGGCCCCAGTCACAGACCTCAGCTTCTCCAAGGCGAGAAGGAGCTAGGCAGGCATGACTTTAACGTACAGATAGCCAGAGAAAGCAGGGAAGGCATCACCGCGGATGGTAAGTTAGGTCCAGCTCTGTGTGTTCATGCCGCTGGTTTTCGCTGTTGGGGGTTGAGGTTTGTTTGGGGCTCTTTCCTTTATATAATTTACTTATTTGTATTCTATGTGTTTTGTTGTTTTGCCTTCATGTATATCTGTGTGAAGATGCCAGATCCCCTGGAACTGGAGTCACAGACAGTTGTGAGCTGCCATGTGGGTGCCGGGAATTGAATTCGGGTCCTCCGAGAGAGCAGTCAGTAGTATTCCTAACTGCTGAGCCATTTCTCCAACCCCTTGTTTGGGACTCTTAAAACGCTTCTACCGCCTCATCCAGAGAGGACAAAGCTTAAAAATCTTGGGGCTTCTTACAGAACGATGTGGGATGGTAGAAGGAAAATGAGAAACGGAGCCAAAGACCGGGACTCTCAGCTCTGCTGCCTGCCAGCTGTGTCATCCTGGGTACGTGACCTTAGTGCCTCAGCTGTGACATGGATATGTGTTGGCCAGGTCCTATGTATATGAGCTCTGGAAGAACATCTGCGGAAGGGAAACAGAGCCATGAAGGGAGACTTAATTTTCACTGTGCATTCAACTAGTTTGTCTTTTACCATGTGTATGCTGTAACATTTTAAACATAATTTATTTCTGTTTGTTTGTTTTGTTCTGTTTTTCAAGGCAGCTCTGGCTGTCTGAGAACTCCATCTGTAGACCAAACTGGCCTTGAACTCATGGAGATCCACCTTCCTCTGCCTCCCTAGTGCTGGGATTAAAGACGTGTGCCACCACCGCTGATTTAAATGTGATTTTTTGAGACAGGGTTTAATGTAGCCCATACAGGCTTTGAACACAATATTCAGGCAAAGATGACCTTGAACTTTTCTTTCTGCCTTCATCTTTCATGAGACTATAGGCCTATGCCATCATGTCAGCTTTGTGTGACTTAGGGGAATGGCGCCCAGAGCGTCATGTATGCTAGGCAAGCACTCTACCAACTGAACTATATCCCAGCACATTTAAATTTAATTTAATTGTAAGAATATTGCCCACATACATAGTAATGACATTTAGGTTACAGGAATTCTGAAATACCAAACACATGAAGTCTATGAGTTTTATATGGGGGGGGGAGGGAAGACCCTCATGGAAACCTTATTTTATAAAGGGCCTCAAGACCCAGACCCAGCAAAAACCCATTAAAGCTCCAACCTGTGTCCAACTGTACTGTACAACAATTACTAGAAATGCCTGGATTTGTGAAAGGTAGTAATGCATTCGATGTGGTCTGAGCAACACACAGGATCTGTCCTCTAGAGCTCCCCCTGTGAGGCACCCCGAGAGGAGAAGAGGTGTGATTCGCGTAGCTTCACGCCACTCCAAGGGACCCAGACATGACCCTGCAGTGTATCGCCCAGCATTTTTGTAAACAACACTAACTGGAAGTGCCAGAGTGCCAGCCTACGATATGAAAGCAGAACCACCAAAGTGGTGGGAATAAATGAGCTTGCTCCTTTGTCCTGGGTTACCCTGGCCTTTCCCTGTCTCCCTCCAACACCCTGCCCCTTGCCTTGAACTCAGCACTTTGCAGCCAGCCCATGTGTCCTTCCCACAGAACGTCTGGAGGGCCCCTCTCCTCCTCCTGTGCGTGTGGAGGAGAGCTGAGCTGGCGCACCGGCTGAACCCTCTTCCTAAGCACACCATTTACCTTCAGACTTCAACATCTGCGTCTTCCAAGTTCTGGAAACTTGTCAGAATCCAGGGCCTCGAAGCCTGGGTGTGAAGCTGGACCAGGGGAAACACCCCATTCTCCTACCCCCAGCTCCCTAGGGTCGAGTATGAAGGGCATGTCAGGGGAAGAATATCCAATCCTGGCTAATACCAGGCTCCTCTAAGAAGCTTATGGGGCATTGTACAAGTTCTGGGTCCCAGCACCTCAGAAGAAGCCTGAGGGGGTAGACCTTTTACCAGGGACACAGAATAGACTCTCCATGGGGACCCCCACCCCTAAGAGGCAGCGAGGGAACATCTCAAATTTATTACTAAGCTATGGGAATTCGAGGCCATTTAGGGCTTCCATCCTTAGGTGGGGGGAAAGACATGGATAGAAGCAGAAAGTCCTCTGAGGAAACCAAGGGAAAGTGCCTAGGGCTTAAGAGATCAGAAGACATCAGCACCAGGCTCCAGTCTGTGAGTCGAACCATAATCTAAGTGTGGAGACACGTGGAGACATCAACGCCCCGCCCTACCTATGCATGAGAGTGTGAAAACCAGAGTCAAAACGGAGGGACTGGAGCAAAAGTACATTGCAAACCTGAAAGTATTTTGCAAGCGGAATGTATTTTATTAAGCCAAAAGGAAATCCTCGGGGGATCATGCCTGGACATCACAAGGTACCTAAGATGTCGGCTCCTCGAGCCTCTTGCACCTCTAGGTCACCACTCGGAGCCGATCACAGTGGAACTCGGGTAAAATGTTGGGATCTTGTGCCTGCAACCATGTCAACCCTCTGGCTGACTCTGCCTAGTATTTCCTGTCTACTTTCCTAGTTTTCTACACGTGCGTGCATGACTTCTGCTGTAATCCGAAATACCAGGTTATCCCAACCCCGCCTAACCTTCGCCCCATGTCACCCTAAGTAGCCCAGAAGTGTGAAAGGGAAACGGCCACCTCTGCCAAACCCTGAGGTCCCACCACCGCTGCCGGAAGAGCCAGGCAGATCTCTGTGTTCTGCAGTAACACTGGATGCCTGGGCCTCGGGAAGGAAGGGGGCCTCCGGCAGTTTCACTTTTCCTCTCTTCAGAGTTCCCTCTGGCCCGCAGAGATGGAGAATACAATTGATGAAGTGAGTTTTTGTCGATCTTAAAGTGTTACTTACACAACACAGAGCATTCAGGGGAGAAGAAAGCCCCCAGAGATTCCTTCCTCTCATGTCCACAACATCCTACTTGATGGAGATGCCTCTAGTTCTTTCTGTCTTAGTCTCATGGAAGTAAACTCCCCCCTCTCTGATCTAAGCTCTCAGCTACTGCTCCAGCATCTTGCCTGTCTGACTGTTGCCATGCTCCTTGCTCTTATTAACTGCTCTGAAACCGTAAGCCCCCAATAAACTCTTTTATAAGTTGCCTTGGTCATGGTGTCTTCACAGCAATAGAAAAGCAACTAAAACAGATCCCAACAGTATAATCAGTCACCACGGGGAGAGTGGCTACAATCCAGCAAGGGCTGCAATCTCAAATGCCTTTAGGCCTGGGCAATAGAAATGAGTTCTAACAGCTCCAGGCAGCGTTAGTGGAGATTGCCCAGGATGGGGCTGCCCAGAGGACAAATGACACATTGAGAAATGCCCCAGTATCAAACCATTCAAAAGTATTAAGAGACTGAACTTAATCTACAGGGCATTGTGTAACCACTGACAAAGCAATGAGGCTGACCAGAACAGCTTTCCCGGAGCCTTGTGTCCTCAGGTTCCTCGTTCATAAGACCAGGAAGACACTATGAGATTGTTGTGCATTACTGTGAGGGAGCCCTGGGAAAGCACACCCATCAGCCAGAGCCTGATGTCACAGCCTTGGGCCTTTGGGTTATTTTTTAATGTTATTGGAGGAGGGGTTAAAATGGGAACAAAGAGATGGTTCATCAGTGTAGAGCAAATATTGCCTTCATAGAGAACCTGATTTCAATTTCATGCAACTATATTGTAGCTGGTTATCAACTACCCATCACACTAGCTCCAGGGGCATCTCCTCTGGCCTTTGTGGCACACGCAGGTACTCACACATAGATGCACATACACATAATTAACTAAACAAAAAATGCAAAAATTTAATATCACATCTATTTATTGTGTTTGTCTGTGTGTGGGCACAAGGGTGTCACAGCATATTTGTGGAGGACAGAGGGCAACTGTGGGAGTCTTTCTCTCCTTCCTCTGTGGGGGTCCTGGGGATTGTACTCAGGTTGTTGGGCTTACTGGTAAGAGCCACCTCACTGGTTCACAAAAATTAAAATGTAAAAACATTGTGTGCTAGCTAGTTTTATGTCAACTATAATAAACGAGAGTTATCAGAGAGGAAGGAGCCTCAGTTGAGAAAATGCCTTCGTAATAGGACTATAGACAGGCCTGTAGGGCATTTTCTTAATTAGTGGTTGATGTGGGAGGGCCCAGCCTACTATGGGTGGGGCCATCCCTAGGCTAGTGGTCCTGGTTTCATTAAAAAAGCAGGCTGAGCAAACCATGGGGAACAAGCCAGTAAGTAGCATCCTCCATAGCCTCTGCTTCAGCTCCTGCCTCCAGGATCCTTCATGGCTTGCCTTCCTATTCTAACCTTGTCCAGTTACAGACTATGGATATGGAAATGTAATCCAAACAAACCTTTTCCTCCTTAAGTGTCTTTGGTCGTGGTGTTTCATCACAGCAAGGGTAACCCTAAGACAGCTGGTTAGATAAATGATAGCACAACTTTCAGCAGCCAATTATATTCACCAGGAAACTGGGATGAAGCAGCGCCCAACATATTAGCTAAAAATGATCAATGCTAAGTGCAGAACAATATATACAGTATTGTTGCATCTAGTTAGAAAGCATTATTTATAGTCCTCAT